AATTTATATTCAGGGAATTGCTTATACTTTTCAAACTCTTTTTCCCATTGAGAATTAGTAATTGGAGGAAGCACACCTGTAATTGGTTTCCATTCTACAATTGAAAGTCCACTTTCGGTCAACCTCGTTAATCCTCCCAGTACAACTATACCAAAGACTAATCCTGAAGTCCCCAATAACCAATATCCAACAATGGGCTTGGTAGAACTTTGTGCAGAAATAGTTTTTGTTCGTGATCCCACATAATTAGGATTACTCAGTGTATCATATAGTGCCCTTCTATTAGACGAAACAGAATTTCTTAAGGTAATCGAGGAGAGCAAAAAATTCGAAGAAACTGCCAAGGGATATCTGTTTAAATTAGCTAGTCGAGTACGAGCATGTATCTGTCTACTTTGGTGGTAGAATTTGGAGTAGTATTGACCAAAGACCTGTTTATTCTTTCCTGCAATAATGTTAGTTTTCCACCTTAAATTAGAATTTATCAACTTTCCTCTTGGGAAATTACAAAATAATCTCCCCGAATACATCAGGAACAAGATTTTATGATCTTAAATTGATTTTTTTTTTCCCACGATTATATAAATACATCTTCATATGCAGTAAATCGATGTAAAATTTCTATTTTTCATTATACAGTATATTTGATTTGAGCGAAACGCCAACTACTTAAAAACTTCTGACAGAAAATTGAATGATAATATTCTCGTTATAATATTTAAGTTTTTGGCTTCTATTTATTAAAGAAAGAGTGAGAAAATAAAAACAAAAATTGTTATGCAACAACTAGTGATGTTTAAAAGTCCTATACGGTTCAGAGGATGAGTCTTAATTTTAAATTCGGTTTTAAAGTCGACTGGGTTTAAAACCTCAAGTGAAATTGATAATGTATTTTTTTAAGTTATTTATAATAGTTTTTTTTTTTGTAATTTGTTAAGATACCAAGTATAAAATTTGCTAAGAGAAATTCATTAGAGTTGTTACCACTTTTTAATTTCATATTATTTTTTCATTATAATTAATTGGCAAGTAATTTTATGATTATTTTAATTTCAATTTTAAAAATATTAATATAGAATTAATTTATAAATTTTCAAATAAACAATATTATTTTTATTTTAATAAAAACATAATTATAAAAAATATATGAATTGTCTTTTTTTTTTAAAAACTTAGTTTTAAATTTCTTATTTTAATGTTATTTAGTCAAGATATATATTCATTATATATACTGTATTATAATTAAAAAAATCATCAAAAAAATATATTTTATAATTATTATAAAATCACGTGATATAATACACCGACTTAGCTGTAATAAAAAAAAAACTTTTTATGTTATTAAAAACACGAGCATATACTTAAATGTTCAAAGTCAATCGTCGAAGCGACTATCCTACTAACGTAAACATGTAACACGCTTTTCATTGGCTGAATTACATTTTAAGCTTTTACGTGATCATATTGAGTTTTAAACAGTACATACTGCGAGTTTGTTTACCAAAACATTGTAAGAACTGTTTATCCCTTAGTCCTATATTTAAAGCACTCTCGTTTACAAGCGACACGAACAAAGTCTAGGTCTTAACTTATAAGTTTTCGACTTTAACATACTCTGGTAAAACCCTAAGCGTCGTACCTAGTTGTATAATGACCGACGTAGAACAAGGACCACCATCACCTACCCAAAATGAAGTCTCGGCAGTTCAAGAGTCTCAGAAATCAAAGAAAAGAAAGCACGATGGTAATACACACACTACACTCGTTGATAGACCTCGACGACAAGTGCACCCCGTTATTCCTTACTCTCAAATGGCAGAGGCCAAGTCACGTACAAGAAAACCCGTTGAAGTTGTACAAGGTGAAGGTATCCCTCTTGGCCAGATATCGCCAATAGCTCGAGCTATCGACAGACTCAAGACAACTGATGACATGATCAAAGGCCTACATAAGTTGCTCTACGGTAGGGTCGGAGCAAAACACGACATCAAGTCTCATATCCGCGCGTTTTCAGGCTTCGTCTTGGGGACTCCGATAGATGAAATGGTTTACAAAGAAAAACTTGAGAAATGGAAAATATCAGGGTTAAAAGACATGTGTTCACTGTTTAGTCTTAAGTCTTCGGGTGATAAAGCCTCCGTTGTTGAACGACTTTTCGAATTTTTGAAGAAGCCTTATGACACTTCAAGTCCTAAAGATCGCAAATCAAAAAATGCCAAGAATAAAAAGACCAGTACCTCTAAAACCTCGAAGAAATCCGCAACTGTAAGAAGAAAAACACCTAAGGATATATTCTTCATCAAACAACGTGAAATCTTTAAGGCAAAGGAAGGAAATGAATCTGCATCCAGATCCGAAGTTGAAAAACAGATGACTGAAGCTTGGAATGATTTGTCAGAAAAGGAGAAGAAACCATACATCTCTCTAGCTGAGAACGCGAATAAGTCAACTATTTC